TTTACAACCCCATAACTTTTTTATTTATGACCCGATTCTCAAAATTCAAGAAGCATAATTCTTAGAATTGAAAATTCTTAGGTACCAAAAAAAAGGGCAAAAGTGAAAATTTAAATTTTCATTGGCATTGCTACATCTTGGTGAAATCAGGCGCTCGTCAAAACAATGAAACCAAGGACGGTATTTCCAGTTAATATGGCAATATTTATCAACTTTCTTTAACATCTTTAATGTCCATTAAAAAAACTTTGTAATGATTTTACAGAAAAGCGATTTATAGCATAAAAAATAGAAATGTTCACTTTCCAAGGACTCTCAAGCTTTGGCAGTCATTCTCTTAACTTTACCTCTGAACTTCTGTTCAACATGGGTATTTTTTCGTAGAAAGATAAGACAAATGAACAAGCTTTAAGATGTTACGGTTGCCATAACTTCACATACCAAAAAAATTTACCTGCACCTGATTCCACAGCACTGTGACACATTTAGAAACACCTAGGTGACAGAAGCATGAGGCTGCACAGTTCTCAAAACAAATGACATGACAGAGATCTACATATACAAAGACAAGTGAAAGAGTCAGGAACAGGCAAACCTTTAAAGTGTTCCAGTAATGTTGTACCTGACAGCCATTAAGCATGACCACCACAGATCAAAAGTTAAAAATGCTGACAAAAGGACCTGCACCCATCATCCAGAGAAAGAGATAAAATGCGCAATACAAGAGAGAAGTACCCAGTAGCAATCTTAGACCCACCAGTGTCAAACTTGATGTACTCCTTCATCTTGCCAGAGGCAATATCCACCTGCACAGAGTCGTTCACCTTCACCAGAGGATCGGGGTAACGAATGGTGCGGCCATCGTGAGTGACAATGTACGGCACGTTCTTAGGTCCAGTGGCCACTTTACGAACTCTGCAGAGCTTGTACTGAGGAAAACATTAAAAAATGTAACAATGACAGAAACAACTTGGGCAACATTCATTTAGTGCACTATTTAGACTTCCATATTTCATGCACTGCTCGAGTTCCTAGTGAAAATTAGAAAATAAACCATGAGCAACTGTCAAACAAAATAGATACTAGTATATATCCAACAGTACAGAAATAATGTGAAGATTCCATAGAAATTCTTGGTGTAAAATTTTGAACCCCACTATAAATCCATAATTAATAATAAATATATTTTTTTTAAGTGCACAGGAATGGAACACATTGGTTCACATTTGAGCAAAATCAGTAGTCGGAATGATTGCCGATAAAGCAACAAAAAAAAACAAAAACAACTACGGCTTGAACAAAGTCCCACCACCTTGGGAGTGGTATGTGACCATCAGTCATGTGAGTTGGATCATCACACATAAGATGTCAGTGCGGTAACACAGTAAGAGAGCTAACACACAAACATGTTTTAAGTTCCCAAGGCAAAGAAAAGAGCCCAGTATCAACAACAGACCAACCTACCTTGGCCTCCTCTGGCTTGATCCTGTGCACAACGAACCTCCCTTTCACATCGTACAGGATGCGGAAGTTTTCATTGGTCCTGTCAATGGTGACCACATCTGCAAGTATGGAATTTAACAAGATATTGCTTTAGTGAGGTTTTACGGCGCTTGCAACTGCAAAAGGTCATATGCCACAAGATATAGCTGGATATACATTGGCACTGAAATTACCGCACCACTCATCCCCAAAAAAATTTTAAAACACAGAAAGTGAGCAGAAAAAAAGTTTCAAATTCATTTAACAAAAAATTTGACAAGACCAAGGAAAACATACTATGTAGTTGGTTGTTTTGGGGGATTTTTTGTTGTTAGAAACCTGTACATTTTCACCACAGAAGTGACGAGGTATAACCACAATTTGAAAGCATTTCGATTAAATAAAAACTTTATCTGGAAAGAGGAAAATATTATCGAAGAACTGTTCCTACAAAATTGCAATCTCTGTTCCAGAAAAAAAAAAAACAGCGGCCATCTGCTGGACATGCTATATGGGCAATTTTGACCACAAAATTCACTGATAAATGAAGTGGCCTCGACTACGACCTCTTGCTCTTGCCATTATGGATAACAATATGAAAAACCAATAGTAGTCTTTACTCGCTCTGTGTCTTTCTATCCACTTCCACAGAATACGACAACCTTTTTGACCTGTCACCAGCTGCCAGGGCCTAACAATAACCCAATTTATGGACTGACTTATCAAAGAACAAACTGTTCTGTAAAAATCATTCAGTATGTGCAAAAACTTACCCATAAAACCTGTGGGAAATGTGTTGTCAGTGCGAATTTTACCATCCACTTTGATAAGTCGCTGCTTGACAATCTTCTTTACCTCCTGGTATGACAGAGCATACCTCAGACGGTTTCTCAGGAACAGAGTCATTGGAAAGCTCTCACGAGCTTTGTGTGGGCCAGGGCTGGACTTGGGAGCCTGTCCAGAGAAAAATTTGTTTTTAAAAAATTAATCATATTCTCGGACACACTTTCACAATAGTAACTTCACAAGTAGCACACATACTAAAACTGAACATTCTAAGAGAGGAAATTTGCATAGAACAATAAACAAACAAACTAAACCTATATTTCTTTTTCATGGAAACAAGTGACTGACATTACAAATTTTTAAAAACTCTCATTCACTGTACTTTAAGAATACTGTAACCTCGCATCTGGGCTTCTGCAATCTGTGACAACCAGTCTACTGTACCTTGGAAAACTTCCAAAAATATTCACAAACAGTACAAGGAAAGAATCTCAGTTTTTAAGCGTGCATGCGTATACTCAGAATTGCCACAAGTCCCTAAAGACACTTCGACCAATGCGCACACAGCGCGATTGATTTCCTTGACCCTGACATCCGATAGTCCCCGACCAGTCCTATACAGCAGGTCCCGACTCTGACACACACGCGGTCATATTAGGACGTGATGCCAACGCGCGAGTTTGAAAGTTTCACTGACAGGTCTTGATGACGGGGCCAGCTCATCTGAACTTGGACTAAACTTGTTTTTAAAGCAACGGTAGACCGACATATAATGTTCATTATAATTTGAAAGCCATAAATGTTACAATTATCAGGCCATCATCAGAGGACTCTGAGAAATATCACAAAAGCTTAAGCAGATCTTGAGAGTTCCCAAATCAGAATTCCACATCGACACCACTCCGATTTCAGTTGAACTTTTACGAGTCAACTTCTAGATCCGGCGCTGATGCTTTAAAAAAAAAAAGCCTTCTACATATTTCTTCTAATAAAAAAGTTAAAATCGGTGCTTCCCAGCGAAAGAGAAGCAGAGAAAGTTGTTTTTAAGAATTCAATACAACAGACGAAACAAAATATTTTTTAATTGGGGATCCGGAAAATCAGGATCTCCATATAAAACCAGGATGTGTGGCAGTTTTGGTATACTACATGCACTACTGGAAAAAAAAAGGATGAACGATGAACACAATGTACAATCAAAGTGTTACATAGAATCGGCAAAAGAAAGACAAATACTCACAAAGGTACCCCCAGTCTTGTCCAGCATCCATGACTTGGGTGCCGTCAAGCGTTTCAAAGACTTTCTACGTCCTCTGTAACCCTGTGCAGAAGGAAAATCATCAGTTGACAGTTAGCCTATAAGAAGTCATAATCAAAATAGTAAAATTCAAAGTATAAAAGCAACAAAAAAAAAGTGAAAGCTTAAAGCATACACAAAAATAAAAGGTAGTGTCAATTGCTGTCGAGTAAATTGGAGCTCTTTTTTTTGCCATGGTGAGCAGAACTAGCCTTTGTACTATGTGTGCTCAGTGTTCTGAGTTCGTGAACTTCTGCTTACGCACGCCTCTCTGTCCATGTGTGTGTGCCTCTCTCTCTGTCCCTAAAGCCCGTCACTCTGATTTATAATCCCTGATATAAATCTATAACGAATTACTACAGAAAAAAGCGCCAAAGTCCTTTCTAATTTGAGCATAGGCCTTGGTCTAGATCTGGAATCTACATCTACAAGTGCTGCATGTTAGACATGTTATAAGGGAGTAACAAGCAAAAGAGGGAGAGATGAAGGATGATAGATCTAGAATCTAAATCTAGATTAGATGTTTGATAGGGAAGAAGGAGCAAACCACAAGGAGCACCCACCACCAACAATGCAAGGCTGCAAGAAGTTTCAGCAAATTTTTACTTTTATAATGCACCCACACAGGCGCCTTTTCGGTAGTTCCCACACAGCAAATGTTATTCACTGGTTTTGGCCTCAAGAGAGGTGGGATTTTACCATAATTTGATGTTTTGCAGTTGTTAGGTTTGATATCTTAGCTCGCATCAAACGTATATATCTCGATGTAGGTCAGGCTCAAAATATAAGAAGAGTGGGAACTACCGAAAAAGCACCCCCACACATAGATGCATTGATTTGCGGGGCTAGTGCCATAATTTTTGCTGTAGAACACATGTATGGCCACTAAAACCCTTGCAAATCAATTGTATTCAAGTAAATATCAAGCCTAATTGCCGCCAAAACATCAAATCTTTGTGAAATGCAGGGGGCATGCCCCCCTGAAACCCCCAAATGCCATATAGTTAAATTGACTATTTTCAAACATCAATAACTATTGATTTGCTGCAAAAATGAAGGCCATATTCGAGTTCAGCATGCAAAATCTAGAAAAGAAGTAGATCTAGATCTAAATCTATATAAAACATGAACATGAGACGGGTGCATAAGTAAAAAAAAAAACCCCGAAGTTTCAAACAACGGCCGTCTATCAACGACAACAACAGACAAATGACGGTATTTTTTTTACTAATACACCCGTCTCATGTACACGTTTGATATACTTTTTCGAAGTGGCTAGCCGTACTTAGATCTAGGTTTGGCCCAATCGACTCAAGCCTGTTAAGTACACAGGTCTCATTATTAGATCTAGATCTAGTAATTA